CCTGCTAAGCTCCTAGACAGAGCCATCTAGATACAATCAGGGGCCAGCTCACCAGTGGGTAGGGCTGGGTTTTTAAACCCAGGAGCTTTGGTGATTCTGGCAGTGGAAAGAGCTTAGGTTCTAGAGTTCAGTACACTTGGGAGGCCAAGTTGGGTGGATCACCTGAGGTCAGGAGTTTAAGACCAGCCAGGCCAACATAGTGAAACTCCATCGCTACTAAAAAAATACCAAAAAAACAAAACAAAACAAAACAAAAAATAGCCAGATGTGGTGGCAGGCGCCTGTAGTCCCAGCTACTCGGGAGGCTGAGGCGGAGAATCACTTGATCCCTGGAGGTGGAGGTTGCAGTGAGCTGAGATTGTGCCACTGCACTCCAGCCTGGGCAGCAGAATGAGACTCTGTCTCAAAAAGGAAAAAAAAATTAGCTGGATGTGGTGGTGCACCCTTATAATCCCAGCTACTTGGGAGGCTGAGGTTGGAACCTGGGAGGTGGAGGTCGCAGTGAGCCAAGATCATCCCACTGCACTTCAGCCTGTGTGACAGAGCAAGACTCCATCTCAAAAAAAACACAAAAAACAAAAACACTTGGGTCCAAGTGTCAGCCTCATCAGGAGCTTTAAAACCTTGGCTTAGTCCCCGAACCTCTCTGTACCTGCATTTCCTCCTTGATGCAATGGGGATATGACCTCATCTCACCAAGCTGATGTGAGGACTGAAGGTGCATAGGAAGTTCTCAAGCTTTGGGAGCTTTTTCCTCTCTCCTTCCTATGCGCAGCCAGCCCTGGAGAACGGACACAAGGGAGCTGGGGCCTCACAGCTCTTGCTCTGGCTGTGCCTGTGGCTGACCTCCTCCTGGTCTAGGCTTAGGAGAAAACTGGGGTGTGAGCAGGCTGGGGCATCTTCCTCCATAGCCCTCTAAGGGTCCCTTGGAATTTGATGTTGCTGGGGCTCTGCCTGTAACAGAGGAAGACCAGACCTCACAGTAGCAGAGGCCAGGAAGGCAGGCGCCCAGGGAGCTTGAGCAAGGCAGGCAGCCTGGCCTCCACCTCTCCTGGCTCTCCCTGGGGAAGGAGTCTGTGCCTGGACCTGGCTTCTGCTGCCTGCTCCCCATCCTTTACTCCTTGGGCACAGGGCCCCAGAGAGGAAAGAATCTAGACAGGCTGTTAATTGATCCCTGAGAAACAAAGACTTTTTACCCCCATCTTATAAGGCCTCAGGCTTCCGATCTGGATCTGAACTGAGAGGAGTACTTGAGATGAGTATTCTGAGGGCTGTGAGGCACCTGGGAGTCAGAGGGCTCCTGGGATGTGGGGGCCCCTGGGAGTCAGAGGGCTTCAGGGACATCAGCACCCTGTCTGGGCTGTTCCCAGGAGCCTTCCTGGGCACTAAAGAGCTGGAGTTGGAGATGGGCTTGCTGCCTCCCTGGGGGGCATTTAGAGACTCCTGGGGGAGGCCCTTCAGTTGCTGCCTCCTGTGGGCCATGGCTGTGAATGGAGCCTCACCTCAGGGGAAGGGCCACTTAGCAAGGCCCTGAAGGATGAATGGGATTTTTCCAGACAGCGATTGGCTGGAACACTCTCCAGTAGAAGGAACAGCAGGTACAAAACCACGGAGGTGGGGAGACACTCTGTGGTCAGAAATAGCAGAGGGGGGCACATGGCAAGAATGTTGGGTGCATACAGGGAGAGGACGCTGGGGAATGAAATGAGGCCAGGGTGTGGAGAGCCTCGTGTGCCAGGCTGGGGGATTTGGGCTTTCTCTGCAGGCTGCATGGGCAGAGCTGGGATTCCAGTTGACATCTCTCTCTGGTAGCCAAGACTGAAGCTAAAACCTGCTTTGATGGCAGTGACCCTGCCCAGAGAGTCCCCTCTGAACAGTGGGTACAGTGGAGGATGGATGTTGAGGGTTAGGGAAGGGGATGTCCTGGCTGATGGGGCAGTGAGGAGGGGAGGTGCCTCCAGCCTCCAGCCAGGATTGAGAGCCAGGTATTCAGTGGGCCCTGCCTCTTGGCATCCCTCAGTCACCACCCTCTTCTCTCATACAAAGGTCAGGGCAGGGGGTGCAGCTGGAGGGCCTGCCCTGCCCTTAGGGAGTCTGGGCTGTGAATGCCAAGCTCCAGGATGAAGCCTTCCTGGTGGAATCTGAGGCCAGATACCCAGCAGACCAGGGTGTGTGTTTTAACTCCAAGAGCCTTGGCGACTCTGGTGATGGAGAGAACTCTGGAGCTCAGTAAACTTGGGCCAACATGGTGGCCTCTTCCTGTTGCTCCCATGTTGCTTCCCTGGTCTACCTCTGTGACGCTCCAGGTCTGACCTTTCTGGATCTGGAAGCCTTTCTGGATCTTTAATCCTCTACCCTGCCTCTCTGAAATGCACACAAATTACTTTGACGTTTTTCCAGCTTCCTCTAGTTCACAGGACTGAGGGTTCAGCTTTTCAGTCCACTACGTTGTACATGTCTCTGAATGTACCTTCACCTGAGTTAGGCAGGGAGCTCCCTGAGGCTGGAGTGAGGCCTTATTCAACTCTGTGCCAGGCAGAACCTGGTGCCTGGTGAGGAATGGATGGATGGGTTGCAGGGATGGATGGGAGGGAGGGCGGGAGGGACACAGGAAAGAGGGAATGAGAGAAAGAAACAAGAAAAGAGAAGGGAAGGGAAGAAGAATGAATGGATGTATGGATGGAAACAAGGGAGGAAGGAGAGAGAAAAGAAGGGAGGGAGGGTGAGTGGCTGGATTGGTGTATGAATGGATTTAAGAAAGGATGAATGGATGGCAGGGAAGGAGAGTGGAAAGGAGGAAGGGAGGATGATGTGCTGATAGGCCAGCTGGGGTGGCTCTTACCTGTAATCCCAGCACTTTGGGAGGTCAAGACAGGAGGCTCGCGTGAGGCAAGGAGTTCAAAACCAGCCTGGATAACATAAAGAGACCCCATCTCTACAAAATAAAAACAAACAAATAATTAATTAATTAATTAAAAACAGAAAGGAGGGACAGGTGGGTGGAAGGAAGGATGTATGTGGACCGCACTTGACAGTGGCTTAGGAGACAGTTTTCTGAAAATTGCGCAATGCTCTAGAACCAGCAGGACTAGCAGTGCCCGGTTGGCATAGCTTGGGCAGATCTCTTCCTGCATCTGGGCCTCAGGTCCCCAACCATAGCATGTGGTGTCTCAGAGCAGATCACATGTAAAGGCTGCCCTCACTCCATCATTCTGAGGTGCCAGCTTTGTCGCTTCCCTTTGCTCCAAACTTCCCCCAACACAGAATGTAGTTTGGAAGGTCCATGTGATACTTGGTTTTCAGATCCTTCCAGGTTACATGTCAGGCCCTGTGACCACGGTTAATCCAAACAAGACTGTTCTGGACTTGCAGGGACCCCCTTGGTGGGGGAAGAGCATCACTGCCACCAAGGCAGCCTCTAGGAGCAGCATGGCTGCCTCCTGCACTGACACAGGGTGTGACCTCAGGCCTCCTCCAAGTGACCTATGAGGGCAGGTCAGAGAACAAAGGTGTCACCCCTTACAGTCTGTAACCCAGAACTGCCTCCTGGAGATGGCACTGTTTTGGCCATGGCTAGGCAGAGGGGTGGGGTGCAGTGAGGACATGCAGGCAGGAGTGACTCTCTGGGCCCCTGGTAGAGGGCAGACTGGCAGGGGCTCATCCTCCCAGAGCAGGGCCAAGGGAGGCCACAGTATATTAGAGTCCCAGTGGGCCTGGCAGGAGACTGTAAGAAGAGACCTTGTCCCAGAATCCAGTCTGAGCAGGAAGGTTTGAAACCCAGAAAGCTGCTTGATTCTGTCTGCTTGGCACTCATGCCTGCTGCAGCCTGAGAACCGCAGGAGATCATTAAATGGGGCCCCCAAACCGAACCAAAGGGTTTCCCGAATCTTACTGCAGGGAGCCCAGGGCCAGAGCAGGTGGTTCTGGACAGGCAGGGCGATCCTGGCCATTTCCTTCTCACTGGTGCTATCTGAGAGAGCAGGTGTCCACACATATTTGGGAGGCCCCAGGCCTCCAGCAGCTTCTTCCTCCCTCCCACTTGCACCCCACCCTAGGGCTGGAAAGGAGTCAAGCAGAGCCTATGGGTCATGGCACCTTTGGGAACCCTGGTCCAATTCTCTTCCTGATGCCTGAACCCTCAAACAGTCTCTCTGACAAAAGATCATTCGGTCTCTATTTGAGTACCTCCAAGGACAGGGAACTCACTACTATGAGCACTACTACTCAATACTATGAGTTCCCTGTCCTTGGAGGTACTCAAATAGAGGCCGAATGATATTTTGTGAGAGATCTTTTGGCAAAATGATCTTTTGCAGTGCAAGTTCCTAGAAGACAGAGGGGGTAAATTTTAAAAGGCTAAGACCTTGGGGAAGACGTACATTTTCTTCAGCTCTAGGCAGAATGGAGCTTGAAAGAGACCACATGAGGGAGGCACAGACCCATGAAAAAGAGCAAAGAGACTGGAGTAGGGAGAACAAGTGGAGGTCTGGCCTCTGAGGGGCTTCATTCCACTATAGCTGCCCCCTCTCATTTCTCTGCAAACTGCAGCCCCAGCAGGTGGTGTCACTTTTATTGGGCAGGGTAGCTAAATGCCTTCACAAATCCACTCCAAATCAGTGGCTAAACACAATGGAAGTTTGTTTCCCACTCAAGTAACAGTTCAATGTGGGTATTTAACGATGTCTTTTCAGGGACCCAGGCTCCTTCCCTCTGTAGCTCTGCTAGTGGCTGGGGCTTCCACATTTAGCTGGGATAGGGGGAAGAAGAGAGCATGGAAGATGGAGGAGGAGGGTTCTAGAGCCTGCCCTGGCAGTCGTGCACGCCCCCCGTGGAGGGAAATGTGGTGGGAAATGTGGTATGTCGTGCTGCAGGGGGCCTGGTACAGGCATCTTGCCCCCCGCCCCCATCCCGCCTGGCCCTGGCACTGGACAGGCAACCCAGCCTTCTCACTCCCCGCTCTGGGTGGGCCTCCCCCTGACACTGTGTCTTTCTCCCCACAGTATGTGGCCTTCGCTTCCCTCTTCTTCATCCTGGTCTCCATCACCACCTTCTGCCTGGAGACCCATGAGCGCTTCAACCCCATCGTGAACAAGACAGAGATCGAGAACGTTCGCAATGGCACGCAAGTGCGCTACTACCGGGAGGCGGAGACGGAGGCCTTCCTCACCTACATCGAGGGCGTCTGCGTGGTCTGGTTCACCTTCGAGTTCCTCATGCGTGTCGTCTTCTGCCCAAACAAGGTAGAGTTCATCAAGAACTCGCTCAACATCATTGACTTTGTGGCCATCCTGCCCTTCTACCTGGAGGTGGGGCTGAGCGGCCTGTCCTCCAAGGCCGCCAAGGACGTGCTGGGCTTCCTGCGCGTCGTCCGTTTCGTGCGCATCCTGCGCATCTTTAAGCTGACCCGCCACTTTGTGGGCCTCCGGGTCCTGGGCCACACGCTCCGCGCCAGCACCAACGAGTTCCTGCTGCTCATCATCTTCCTGGCCCTGGGCGTGCTGATTTTCGCCACCATGATCTACTACGCCGAGAGGATAGGGGCGCAGCCCAATGACCCCAGCGCCAGTGAACACACGCACTTTAAGAACATCCCCATCGGCTTCTGGTGGGCCGTGGTCACCATGACGACCCTGGGCTACGGAGACATGTACCCGCAGACGTGGTCCGGCATGCTGGTGGGGGCCCTGTGCGCGCTGGCGGGCGTGCTAACCATCGCCATGCCCGTGCCCGTCATCGTGAACAATTTCGGGATGTATTACTCCTTAGCCATGGCTAAGCAGAAACTACCAAAGAAAAAAAAGAAGCATATTCCGCGGCCACCGCAGCTGGGATCTCCCAATTATTGTAAATCTGTCGTAAACTCTCCACACCACAGTACTCAGAGTGACACATGTCCGCTGGCCCAGGAAGAAATTTTAGAAATTAACAGAGCAGGTAGGAAACCTCTTAGAGGCATGTCGATCTGACCTTTCACCTCCGCCCCCTGTAGCGATGATTCCAGATCCAGTCAGACTGCTTCCTTAGTTCCGTGGGTGACCCCGGACCCCGCACTCAGTCTTGAGGTGTGGAGCCTGGGGGCCCAGGGAGATGCTGGGTGGCCACCTTCAGAAGGCGAGAGAGCCTGCTAGAGGAACCTCACTGGTGCCCCTGGGTAAGGAGGTTGACGCGGTTGGTCTCATGATGTTCTGAAGAGACGACGCGGCCCACCAGGTTGCCGAGGACTAACTTAGCAGGAGCCGGGGCGGGGCTCTGCTCGGCGGGGCCGGAGTCCGGCGTGAGTCTCTGACTCAGGCTACTGACCCGGTGTTGGAACAGGGCAGGGGTGGGTGTGATTTGGATATGCCAGACAGCCTTTGATCTGGTCCTTACCACGGCTCCCTTCAGGCTGTGTAGACGGCAGAGATGGTGCATGGGATCTGGGCAGGAGGGTCCCTTGCAAAGGCAGGAGCAAGGCTTCTCACCCCCAGCAGAGCCTGTCTCCATAGCTGAGTAGAATTTCTGCCCTGATTCGGGCTGCCCAGCTCGAGGTCCTTCCCAGGAGATGTCTGTAGCCCTCCGTGACAAGCTTACTTACCCCATAGCATGCTGAACCAACTCATCTTACCACCACTCTAGAGTTTAGCCTTTATCTTTAGGAACCTGTCGGAGTGACTCTAGCTTTCACGTTGTCTGTTTGGGTTGATGGTCGAGTGGGAGTTTCCGGTGACCTGATGGAAGCGGCTGCTGAGCAAAGGACTAGAGGGGGCCGCCATCCTGGGCAGCTTAGATGAAAGCACCATAGACCAGCAACAGCCTCCCACCGAGGGTTCTCCCCGTGTCCGGCGGTAGGGACTGCAGCAGCAATATAGACATCCAACCAGTGTACAACACTTTCCCGTGAATTCACTGGGGGCCGGGAGGGGGGAGGGGGGCATGAAACAATACTAGTCACCGTGGGATATATTCTAATATTCCATGGCTAGTGGTTCGTTATGGGACTATCTCAGTTTTATGAGAACCTGCACACAGCACATAAAGTTGATCATGGGGCTCTGGTCCGAAGATATAAAGCCCATAGTCTACCTCTACCCATGGAATACCATCGGCTTATTCTGTGGACACAGGGATTTCAGAGGAACAGATGACCCAGACAAGAATGACAGCACTGAGTAAGATGGAGGGCCTGGGCAAGCGGGAGGTTGACGTGAGAGTGAGGTGGCATTTAGTCTATGAAGGACCTCCGCACACCCAGGTCTGGCAGGGGGCTCAGGCTAGCTCAGCCCCAGGTGGGGAAGTTTCCCCCGCGTTTGGGTGGCCTCCCCCAGTGGATGCTTTTCTTCCCTGCTATTATGCTCTCTGACCCACCACCCCATCCCGACCCTCTCCTGGCTTTACCCCACAGCTATGCTGGCCCGAGCACTACCCGCAAGGCCCACTTCTTTGCCCATGGGGGCTTTCACCAGCCCTTTCACCCTGCTCCATAACCTCCCGTTCCTGGGAGTTCTGTAGGTACCTGAGAGGAACATGGCCAGGGGTGGATAGGGGTCTCCGAGGCTGAAACAGGAGGCCCAAGTTCTCTGCTTTGGATTAGCTAGTTACTTGATTTCAGGAGCTGCCAACAGGGCTCTGGGCCTCTAGGGGGAAGGCATGGGCTGGCCCCAGCTTCCATGCGGACCCAGCAGGAAGAACTCAGCCCGAGTGGCATTACCATGGCACCACCATGGCACTACTTGGCCCTTCTTTGCATCCTCCCCAACACTGGATCTTTCAGAATTGTTGCTCCAAGCATGGGTGCCAGGGGCCCACCAGTCAGGAATCCCCAGTGCTCTCCAGGCAGGCCCAGACACCTCTCTGCTCTTGGACGATGACAGTATTACACTGTCATTTCTTTGCAAACTGCAGCCCCAGCAAGCTATGTCACTTTTATTGGGCAGGGTAGCTAAATGCCTTCACAAATCATGTGATGGATGGGTGGGATGCTGAGTTCCCCCGACCCCCAACCCTGGGAGTGCAGATGTGCGTGTTCAGACATGCGCACCGGCTAATTCCAGTGACACAGAACCTGTAAAACCCATGCATCCTGTGGGATTGCCCCTGGGCTTTACAGCCTCTCCCCAGCCCTGCTTTTGGGAGCCACCTTGCCCCGGCCCCAGGTTTCAGGGGCCCAGACAGCTCTGACTTGGACAGTCTCTGTGGCTGAGGAAGTATTGGGGGCCCTCCCAAGCTTGCCTCTGGAGATTGGATGCCTGGATCCTTCCTGCCTCCTCCACATCCCAGCTGTGCTCCCAAGCACTCACTTCCCAGTGGTGTTGGTGCTGTCCTGATATCCTGACCCTGAGGTTCCAGCCTCATCCCTCAGCAGAATACTCCCCCTGCAAAAGCTGGCGTGTGAGACCCCGGCTATCCACCACCAAGAGGGGCTGTGGTCTTTCGGGGCCTCATCCCCACCTCTGCACCCTGGAGTTCTTCCCATTTCCCTTTTTTCCTGCTTGCAACCATGCCCCTAGATGGACATAGGGTTGGGTGAGTTTGTGAAAGAGTGAGGGGGAGTCCAGGAGCAAGGAGGGTAAATATGGTGGCCCCGCAGGAATTGTGAGATGCAGCCCCCTGAGGCGTTTCCAGTCTCACTGTACCCCCAACGCAGTCTAGTGGTGTCGCCGAAAACTGACATTCTCCAATTCTACTTTTAAAACCAGAGTTAGGGGCTGCATGTGGCCTGCTGGGCTCTAAGGGCATCCCCCAGTGGTGCCAGCAGCACCTGCCCCTCACCTCCACCTCTTAGTCTCGCCTGAGGCCTGTCTGTGTGTCTGTCTCAGGGACCATCTGGTCTCCTCCTCTGCTGTGGCTGGCATGGCCTCAGTATCCGAGGGCTTGTCCTGGGAGGGTGTCAAGGGTCCAGTTCTCACCGGTTGTAGGACCTCTGGGGGATGACAGGAGGATGCCCTAGCACAGCCAGGTATTGCCTGGGGCTGAGGGTCCCAGGAGAATCAGCTCCTCTCCCAGAAAGGGGCTTCCTCCTGCATCTGCAGTGGGATGCCCAGACGTCCTGCTCTGGACAGCCCACAGTGCCTCCTCCATCCTCCATGTCCAATTGCATGTGTCTTGTCCATCTCTGCTCCTGTGATGTGGGTCAGTCCTTTGTGGTGCTGTGTCCAGGGCTGCAGGGTCCCATGTCAGTGAGCAGGGGTTAGCCAGGAGGGAGGGGTGGTGGCCGGGCTCCCTTCCTACCCACGGCACCTAGAGCAGCAGTGAGGTCCCAGAGAAATCTGTCTGGGCTCCTGGTAGCTACCCCACAGCCTCTGGGTTATCTTTGGCAAAAGGGTCTAAAGTCCCCTATTCCCAGTCCGTCTCCTTCCCCTGCTGGGCTGCAGCAGCTGCCCAGTGAGTGGTGCTATCCATGGGTGGGGAGGGTGCTGGGCAGAGCTGACTAGGCAGTGAGTGGGGCTAAAAGAGTGTCTGCAGGGACCCAGCTGCAGGGTCGGCAGCGTAGGCCCTGAGTGGGGTCCTTGTTGTCCTCAGGTGGGCTATGCCGGAAGTAGCAGAGAAACGAAGTGACGCTGGGGGCCAGGCATGGGTGTTCTTTTCCGTGTTGTTCACATTTTCTCTCTCTCTCCACTAATCATGTTTTCTCTCTCCTCGTTTTGTTGCATGACTTCTGCTGGTTCTCGTGATTGTTCCCTGCTCGTGTCTCACAGACTGTCCCCATTTAGCCTGGGACTTTTTTCCTGAGTCCCCAGCTGGGCAGATCCCTCGGGGCTAAACCCAAGGAAATGCCCAGCAACCCCCACCCCACCCCAGCCCCGCGTGCGCCCCTCCGGTGCCCGCAGCTGGTGTGAACAGTAAGTACTTTGGCGGTGCCTGGAGACCAGGGCAGAAAAAGCCAGCTCTGCTGGCTGAGGGCCCAGCCTCGGGTTCTCTTTGCTCCAAAGTTTAAAAAAAATGACCCTCTCGCGGACGCTCATCTCAGCCCATTTCAAGCCTGGAAACCATCTCTGAGACGCTGTTCATGCTGCCATTTCATCTCTGCAGGCCTGTGGGTCTAGTGGGGGTCTGGGGGCCCTGGGATGGGGGAGGCAGGACCCGCAGTCTCTGGAAAGCAGGTGGGAACGGAGGCTCCTAGCCACAATCTCATCCAAAGGTCGGGACAGGGGCGGGAGGGTGGAGAGCCTTGGCAGGTCTGGCACCTTTGGTCCTCTTCACGGGTTCCCCAGATTTATACAGTTGCCACCTCGTTGGTTTCTCTCTAGCCATCTCTCTGGAGTTGTGGGGGGAGAATGCCCCCAGTTTCTGAGAGCATCTTAGACCACAGATAGACTAACAGCCAAGTGGGGCTGGGCCCATTCACAGAGCAAGACTTAAACATCCCCACCCAACTGTTACTCACTCCTCAAAGGTTAGGGTGGAGAGAAGCTTGCCCCAGGGGTGTCCTGGGAATCCTCCAAGAGGGAAAGGTGCCAGGCTGTCATCCCTCCAGAAATCCCTGATGGATGCTCCTTGTCCCCTGCCCCAAACCATCCAGAACTTTGGGCTCTCTAGAGGTTGTGGGAGCTGGGAGCCCCTGGGGCCGGGGGCTTGTGGACAGAGCCAGTGGGCAGGGGCCCCACATTCAGAGCCAGAGAAGTGTCTCAGGTGGCATCATCTCCATGGAGGCAGAGAGGGGGCACCCCCCCGACCCACCCCCACCCAGGCAAGAACTGCAGGCTGTGGACACCTCCCCTGGCAGAGGATGGCCAACAGAGACACAGCAAGTCCTTACTCTCCTCCCAGAAGGAGATGCTGCCTGGGAGGAGCCACTGTTCTCCCCTTGAGGAAAATTCACGCAGGGTGCTATGGGCCTCAACCCCCACATTGTCATCTGCGTCCTCCCCATACTGTTTCCCTTCCCTCTCCCAACACCTCCTCCCTCAGCCCAGAGACCCTTGGATGGAAGACCGGGCCAGCCAGAGTGGGAGGCAGGACCAACGTGTCTGTGAGCTCATGTGTGTGCCTGCAGACACGCTCCCAGACCCCAGAGACACCCCGGCCCCAGTCACATGGTGTCAGAGTTACCTTGGCAACTGGCCTTTTTGGTTCAGAGTAAATTGGGAAGTGAAGCCCCTGGGATTTGTCAAGAAACGCACTGTACGTGAAATGCTTTGCCATCTTGTACGAAAGACTTTTTTTTTTTTTTAAGTTCCAAAATTATGATGGGATTTTTTTGGATTTGCTTTACGAATAAACCTGATTGGTCCATTTCTCTTTTGACTGACTGCCTCTTTGTAGTGACATGATGTGTACACGAGCGGTGATCCCACCCACGTGTACGCTCAGCGTGTGCACATGGGGAAGGATCACTTCTGCGTGTAGTTACATGATGTGAACAGGATCATGGGAGAGTGTTCAATTGGGTGGACATTATCTCCAGCCTTTCCCCATCTCCGCTCTTTCAGAGAGCCTCCCCTAGCATGGTCATGCCCAAGTCAGTGACCCGCTTCCACAAAAGGGCTTGCGCTTGAGGCTCTCACCTTAGATGAAGTATTGGAGTTGGCTCCACCCTGGCCAGGAAGATCCTGCTTTGAAGGCAGAGAGTTTGGGCAGGTTCCATCCCAAGAGTGACGGGATGGGGGCAAAGGCCAGTCAGAGCTACCTCTGTCAGCTCCAGCGGCTTCCACAGCTCTGCTCCCAGATCTTGGAGAGATGGAGCTCCTTGCTCTGGCCACACTTTGTCCCCTATCAGATGTGCCCCCTTCCTCCCAGGCTTCTTCTCAGGCTACCACAGAGGCCAGGACTCAAATTCCCTCCACCTAAGTCCATCAGCCGCTGTTGTCTTCTATACATTCATCTGCCTTGCTTTGCCAGGGACACTGACCAGAGGGGACAGAGGAATGGGAGCCCCTCCCACATCCACTCTGCTGTCATGGCCTCATGCATACATCCCTGTTGTGCCTGTGCAAGCTGACCAGGCCTGCTGGGGGCAGCATGGAGTGGAAGACACTAGCTTGATATGTGTGGGGACCAGAGCCGATGGAGTGGTCAGCCTGGGCCCGTCCGTGTGGGGGCCAGAGCAGATGGAGTGGTCTAATTGGGTCTGCATGGGCACAGAGGAGACTGTGTGACCAGGACTGGTCTGTATGGAGGCTGGGGCATAGAGTGACCAGAGCAAGTCCATGTGGGAACAGAGTAGACTGTGTGACCAGGCCTAGTCTGTATGGGGAACAGGGCAGAGAGAGTGACCAGCGTGGGTCTGAATGGGGTGGGGGGCACAGGCTGAGTCATTAGATGGGGGGAGGGGCGGTATGAACCAGGTGATCAGAAGAGATCCACATGGGAGCTGGGGTAGAGCAGATGGGGTGGTCTGAACAGGGCTAGGGAAGCCCGAGCAACTGGCTGGCTGTGGATGGGAGGCAGCCAGCCTCTGGTCAGCAGCAGAGGGGTCCAAAAAGGTCCCTCTCTGGACTGGAGTGTTTCTGCGTGTCTGTCTGTCCTCTCCCTGAGCCCTGTGTCTGGCCCGCCCCCATGACTGCATCCACACCATCCTGTTTCATCGGCCCCGCCTGGGGCCCTGGTCCGGCCCCCAGCACCACACCTGCTGGGTCCATCACCAATTCATCTTTTTGCAAACTTTGAGCAAACCCAGGAGTCCCCACTCCCAGCACTGTGGGCAGCCCAAAGGCTGCCTGGATGAGCTGAACACCCCCAAGCCCCCTGCCTTGTGCCCTCCTCCCTCCACAGCCCGCCTGCTTTTTCATCCTCAGGGACAAGCTGCCCTCTGCCAATACCCCGCTTCTGGCCTGTCCCCCCCTGCCCCTCACTAAACAGTTTTCAGTGTCTCAATAGCTTCTGCTTATATGTTTGAAGATTCCAAACTGAATGGGGAGGTGGCGAAGGCCGCGCTGGCGAACGAAGACTGCCCCCACATAGACCAGGCCCTCACTCCCGATGAGGGCCTGCCCTTTACGCGCTCGGGCACCCGCGAGAGATACGGACCCTGCTTCCTCTTATCAACCGGGGAGTACGCGTGCCCACCTGGTGGAGGAATGAGAAAGGGTATGTAGAGGAAGCTGGAGCACTGTGCATCGTCTGGGCCGCCTCGCGCTCCTGCAGATGGGTGGGCAGGGCGGCGGGCGAGGGCGCTGAGGGGCAGGCAGGCACACCGAGGGGGGCAAGGATGGAAGGAGTCTCCCAGGCTTGGCCCCTGGAGGGCTGAGGCCATTTCCCCCAAGTGAGATGTCAGGCTGGCAGAGAGAACCTGAGGTCCTGGCAGCTGTGGGTTGGTATTGAGCTGGGAGTTGAGAGGGGATTGGACAGGTTGACTTTAGGCCATGACCCCAAGGTAGGGGGTACCCAAAAATGCAGGAGAAGCCTCAACTCCCCCAGGCTGCTCTGGCAGATGGCAGGTCAGGTCCTGAAGGCAAAGTGATTCCTCCTGTCCCCTGGTTGAGAAAGGCAGTGGAGTGGGCCAGGACCCTGTGAATGTAGCTACCCAAGATCCATGTTCTTGGCATGGAAGAGGCATCCTCGAAAGAGAATCCACAGACCAGAGGGAGGAGAGGCAGGAAGAGAGAGATGTCTTCAGGGCTTGAGGGTAAGGCCATTGTCCTTGCAGTCAGAATATTGCCAGTGGCAGATCCAGAACTTGCCAAGAGGAAGTGGTTGAGCAGTATGGTACAGCCTCTTCCATCCTCAGAGGCCCCATCCCCATGGGCCTCTGTCCTGGGTGTGCCCAGCACCCCCTTGTGGTTGGTGAAGGCTGAGGCTGACCCCACTGGAGAGAAAGGCTTCTACTAGAGCTTCAGCACGGGCTGGGGAGATGCTTGGGATGGGGGCCCAGAGCACCCGAGCTCAAGGCTCCAGGCACTGGCCCGGACCTAGAAGGCAGAGGATGCCTTTCTTGGTGCAGCAGACTGGCTGGGCAGCTCGTGCATGTCTTGGAGCGCCTCATATGTGCACACAGATGCATGCTGACTGGGGTGAGCAGGCTGGGTCAGATGAAGAGTTGGGTTTTTGAAAGCAACAGTTGGTGCAGCCTATGGTCATTCACAGCTGCTCCAGTATTTGAAGTGGTTAAACCACATCCAGGAGAAAACAGAATGCAAAGGCATTCCCAGAAGAGGAGAGGCAGCCTGCACTGAGACAAGGGAACGTGGTTCTGGTTATTGGTGCTTAGTTGTACCCACCTGGTCTAGGCTGGTCTCTGCTTCTCTGCCCTGCCCAGAGCCTGGCACGGTGTGCCACTCCCTGCATGGTGCTGCATGGCAGAGGGCTGCCAGCCTTGAGGAGGGTCCCATCCTTGGCATTGGCCATGAATGGGCCTGATGATCCCCTTTGCAACTGGCTTTTTCCCAGGTGGAGGTGCTAGAATGCCCAGGAGCAGGGGCAGCCCCAAGGAGTCAGGGGAAAAGCAGGTAGATGGTTCCCAGTGTCCGTGCCCTGCCCAGTAAGCTCTCATGGGCTTCCTGTCTCCATCATCTTGAACGTTAGATTGATTGGCGTGGCCCCAAAGAGCAGATAGGACAATCTCTTTACTGTGCTGCCGGAAGCCCAGGGAGTGCCCCACTCCCTGCAGTGGCTGGGAGTCCAGCGGCAAGCACTGTCCACAGGAGATACCCATTCCTCAGTCCCACAGAGGCTTAGGTGCCAGTGTCTTTGGGAGGAGCCAAGGGTGGTGTCCCCACCCACATCTATTCTGCCCGCGCTCTCATGGAGCCATGACAGACACCAAGGACTCGCTTTTCTCAGGCTAATTCTGAGCCAGAAGGCATGCAGGTGTGTGAGTCAATGTGCAGAGCAGAAGTAGGGACTCGTCCCGTTCCCCCAGGAGGGAGAGAAAGAGGCGTGCTAGGCTGGCTGAGTGCATGGGCAAACCAAGCCAGCTGGAGAAGAATCTGCCTGCCTCTGCATGCGGCTGTTCTGTCTTTCCTCCTACTTCTTAAAAACTAAGTACCAAGCGGGATGGGAGAGCCAAGAAGAGAAGCTCAAGTGTTAATTGTATTCTTTACATACAGATCTTTGCAAAGAAAGCCCTGTCATTGCTAAGTATATGCCGACAGAGGCTGTGAGAGTGACTTGACCAGGCGGCTTGGCCGAGGACACTGGTGGCTATTAAGCATCTGGGTGGACCTGCAGCCCCTCCTCACCCTCGGACAGAGTAAATTCACGCCATGCAGGTTTGCCGGACGAGTCCGAGTGGCCCAGGCATTGTACTAGGACGGACGTAGCTTTTTCTACGGCCAAATGGTAACTGACCATAGAGGATTTCTTTTCCTTCTTAAAAATTTGATTTTATTTGGGGAGGGGGGTGGAGGGGCTCCTTAGCATGACTTGCATGAAGTTAAACAGAAAACCTAGCAAACCAAACCCACCGACCCCCTGCAACTGTATGATTACCCTGAACCACGATAACGAAAAGAGAAAAAGCAGAAGCCCTCTATTTTCTTTCAAAGCTCTTGACTTTCACACACGTTGTTGGAGCCAAACTGTAACAGCGTTCGGTAGAAACCTGTACATTTCTGGGGGTGAAGGGCGAGGGGAGGAGGGACAGAGATGGGGAAAGGATTGCTTCCTTTTTGTACACAAGATCGAGAAGAAAGCTTCCAAAAAGGGCAGTCGGTCAGTCATTGGTCATATTGACCTCACCTTCATAGTTCATCTTTCACCTGGAAACTGAGAACTTTGCTCCAAATAGAATTGTGGAAACTCGCACTGCTGCCTTCTTTCCCGTTTGGCATGCTTATGACTCAGCGGACGTCTCCCCAAGACCCCTGACAGCAGCTAGTCTAGGTTGATTCTCTCATCTTATCGGTTTGTAGATCCAGTGTGACCAACTTTCATAACAAATTGTTCATGGTAAATAATCACCACCGTATGGATTTTCCAAGTGTTACATTAAAACCAGGATGTAGAGCACCAAAAGATCAGGACCACGGGAGGGGCACCCTCCTCCACCTTTACTAAGGCACAACCTGGCATTGTATGCAATTTAGTACTTCAGAGTAAAAACCTGCATGCCCAATGTTATGCAAAGCGATTCTAGCATGAAATAAATTTTGTATCATGGTTTCTGTATAGTCTAAAGCAGATTTGTTTTCCTGAAGCAGTCGGAGGTTTGCAGAGACACACTTCTGCATCTTGAATAAATATAGTATTTTCCCAACAGAAACAGAGGACAGTAGCTTGGCTTTGGTCTGATTCTAAAATTAGTGGGGTGGGGGGGAAGGATGATATTTTTGAAAAACACATGCTTGAGTTGAAAAAAATGCAACATCTCGAGCTTTCACTGCAGCTCACAACATTTCCTGGAAAGAGAGCAATGATGCTTTAGCTCAACAACCTCCCCTCCCTGGGCCCTGGCCCCCAATAATAAAAAGCTGACTTTTGAGATGAAGCACGAATTTGGGTTTTTATTGCCTTCAGGCAGTGTCGTGATTCTGGTCTGGGCCTCTGATTCCCTGTGGCTGGGCTGGGGTAAACCTGGACCCTGGCTGCTCTGGTCTCAAGGATCCACCTTGAGGTACTTGTCCTCTCGCTGGGGGAAAGTCAGGCTCTAAGGAGCAGGTTGCCCTCTGCAGGTTGGTCGGGCAGGGTGGCCCCTTGGGCTGCAGATCCTGTTGGGTCAGGGGAGGGAGGCAGCTTTCAGAGGCACAGGGCTTATAAGGACCTCAGACCAGCACATCCTCTAGGGGATTCACCTGACCAGGAAATTTCTCCATAAATCATGCCATACTGATGAGTCCTTGAATCGGGCCATGTTAGAGCTCCCAGACTTCTATGCAGACGATGGTCACCTCACTTCTAAGGCCCTTCTTGACTATGATGAAGCCAGAGGTAGGGTTTGACTGTCAGCTCTGGGTGCCCTACCCAGCAGCACCCTTGCCAGGCCAAGTCTGATGGATGCCCTTTCTCAGCCTGGAGGCATCTTGGGAGGGGTAGAGCCCTCTCCTAGGGATCTTGACTGTCTTGGGTTGTTCAATTGGTTTTGGTGGCAGAAGTAGAGGATTGGGGTTCTAATTCTTTTCTATCCATTAAAAACTTAGGAATGTCCAGGTGTAAAGAGTCCTTAATGGTCATTAAGGACAGTCAACCTCTGAGCTTTTCCAGACGAGGAAATGAGGCCCAGAGAAGGAAGGGATCTGCCCAGGGCCACAGACAAGTGGGTGTCAGTCTCCCCCTGATTTTTGTTCCCTTGATGCCTCCCAGCATGGCCTGAGTCCATGATCAGATGGGTGGGTGGGAAGCTTCGAGTGGGTATCAAATTCTCATCTAACAGTTTTTCATCGTCTCTAAGCATTGGCCTCAACTTCCTGATGCCCCATACAGTCGAGGAAAGAAGGGGGTGGGGTCAGTGGAGCAGTGAGTACGATCAGGCCTCTGCCCAGGGCCTCTGCCAGAGCTGCCACACCATTCATAAGCATCAGGATGCCCAAGCCAGGTAGCCTCCACTGCTGCAGGGAGGGTAATGTCTACTCTACTTAGGGATCCACCAGCAAAGAAGTGGGACTCAGCAAAAAGCCTTTAGGAATATGGGTTTCCCGGGACACAGCAGCTAATGAGGAGAGGAAATCTACATGCACTGAGCAACTACTACATGCGGGCATCTTACACACATTGTCTAATGACAGCTCACGATCACCTAACAGCCCCCTTGTAGAGGTGAAACAAGGTGTGGGGAGGTAAAGTAATGGCCCAAAGCCGCAGAGCCAATGTGTGATGAAGGCAGGATCGTAACCCAGGTGATCTAACTCCAGAGCTCAGGTAAACTCTCTCAAGCTACTTGAGGCCTGCAGGAGCTGGCCATTAGGGGTGGAAATGATAGAAACACTAGAGTGGCTGGTCCTAAATCCCAGGACCTGGCCTCCTGCCCTCCTTCATGAAGTACCATGAATATGGCAGAAGGGAGCCACTTCTGATCCTGCCCCAAGCCTCCCCCACACGCAGCTGGCCAACCTCAATCTCCTGCTTAAAAACCCTGTTGCCCTAAGAATGAAGTTTCAGCTCCTCTAACTAGCTGCCAAAGCCCACTGCCTCACCAGCCACTCCTCCCTCCGTGCTGTAGTTCTGAAATTCTGAACTTGTAACAGTTGCACAGACCCTTCCCTCTGTCACCCCCACCACCAAGAGTTTCCCAACTAACTCCTTAACTCTCAGTTTCAACTGATCACTAAGTCACTTCATCCAGAAGCAGTGGATGCCTGGGTCTGGTGAGAGGGCTTTCAGCCTGGATTCACCATTCCTAAGCACAGTCTTACCCAAGGTTGATCTCATGGCCTTCACAACCCACCAGAGCCAAGTGTGGTAGGTGTCAAAGGATGATGGGGTACTTGTGATCAGGAGGGGAGCTTGAGGATGGTAATTAGGGAGGGAGACATCTCACTGACCCTGGTATATGCTCCACCTTCAACCGTCACTCCAGGGGCCAGGCCAACGACCTGGGAGCACAGATTGGGGGTCTGCTCCCCTCTTCCCCTTTCTTCCTTCTCACGCAGGAGGAATGTGAAGACTGATTCACTTAGTTCATTGAAAAAAAGTAGTTTTTAAAAATGAGTATTTTCTCAAATAGCCACATCTCCCATGGCGTATTAGCTGAGCAGGTGAATGATGTCATAAACTAGCTATCAAATGGTTATGATATTTATAAAAGGGCTAAAAGTAGAGGATGAGTAGTGACAAGGGGACCAGAGAGCCTACTCATTTAACCTCCCCCACCCCATGGTGGGTGGGATGTCCTGATGAATTCATTCATGGATATTTATTGGGCACTTCCTCCATACTGGAACCCATCCTTAGCGAAGGGGTTCCAAAATGGACCAAAACCTGGTCTTTTGCTCTCAAAGAGCTCACAGGCTATTAGGAATGAGGGCCTTGGACATCTACAAAGTCTGAGAAAAACCAATAACAATCAAAGGGTACAGAAAAAAAAAATCTGGGAGACATTGTCAACAACTCTTTCAGACACTCATCAGATTGAACCAGTGAAGGAGCATGGAGAGAGCCCATCTGCCCAACACTGCTGCTGGGAAAGGCAGAAATGGAGAAACTCAAGGTGACGGGATGGTCTGTGATGTCTTCTAGTGCCAAGAGCCGTTCATTCTTTCACATGTGGGTTATCTGCACCCTGCTTGCTTCTAAGAAAGGCTTGGCTCAGTTCTGAGAGTCTGAGGTTCTGCATCAAAGGGCTCAGGAGCTAGTGCACCACCTGATTCTGTTTCAGGCTGGGAAGGAACCCTGAGACGCTTCTTTTTGGTGCTCACTCACAAGGAGGCCATGGGAAAGGCATTAGGACCCAGCAGCAAAGGCCTTGGGATTTTGGTTTCTCCCAGCAGGTGCTGAAAGAGGCAGGAGGGAGCTCTGAACTGGAACCTTGTGAGAGAGTGCATTGGTTCTTTGTGAGTGGTAACTGTCTAGGAGGTATGGGCCTGAGTGCTGTCTGGTGTGGGATTGCTTTCTGGCCCATGTGTCTGATACAAGCCTGTAGGACAGTAGGTGGTGGGTCAGTGACCTTGAGCTTGCTCCAGTATGGGTCACCTCTGGGCCATCTGACTGCTCCATCTTTGTTGTTTGTTTGGTCACCTTGGCAAGTCAAGCTCAGAGTACATGGAGATATCCTTCTTCCCATTCCTCAGGTTCTTGGAGACTATACTGGTCTCTACTGGTTCTGAGAGGTGGGGAACCAAGGGGTTTGCTGGCCAGGGCAACCACGTTTCTAGGGTGCAATATTAGAAGGACTCCATGCATGATGTTCAAGGTCAGCCAATGGCTGTCAGGGGTCTCCAGGTTCAGGCCTAGGAAGCTCAAGATTGTCCTGAGCTGAACTCACTCCTGGCCCCAGGGCTACTCTCTATCGCATACTTGTCTCACTCAAGGACTTAGCTGGGTCACTTCCCAATCAGGACTCTGGCCTAGTAATGAGGTTTATGACCTTGAGATGGTCCCTTCCTCTTTTTGACCTCCATTTTTCCACATGAACAAATGAAAATGTTGAATAAAATCAGTGGTTTTGAAACTTTCTCAAGGACCTCTTGTTAAATGAAATGTTATGTGAAGCTCAATATATAGTATAGGAAAAAACTAAAGCTGCTTGGAATAAGATGTGTGTGTTTTGCGGGGAGAACCTGGGCTTCTCTACCTGGCCTCCTTTACCCACAAGGTGGCCACTGAGTTCTCAGAAGACTCCCCGGGCTCTAAAGGATGCAGTGTGACAGCCACAGGGCTAGACGGTCTTTCAAGGGCCTCTAACTTTGGTATTGTGGAATTTTGTAACTTGAATCCACTGCAGCCCAGCCCACACAGACTCACTCTCCTGAGTCACAAGGAGACAGCATGGGATGGGCCATAGACCTGGGCTGCCTAGCTGGTGACATTGCCACATGGTTCTCCAGAGAAAGTCCATTCTCTGAGGTCATCTGGCCAAAGGCCTGTTGCCAGTCACAGCAGAGAGAAAGGTGGTATGTCCCCTAGAGCCACCGGGAAGTCAGGGAATGGGGATCTGGCCCGGTCCCCATCTTACCTGAGGGCCCTCCTCCTGCACAGGCTAGGGTTTGTGTGGCAGGCAATCAGGGGTCAGAGTCCTTGACATTGCTATCCCTACAGATTCCCCTTCCCATGCTGTGGCCTGTCCCTCGTCTGAAACTATGCATTTCAGCAATTACAGTCACACAAACAAGCTCCAGAGTCCTAGCTGACTCAGATGAAGACAAATCTTCTGAGAGTTTCCTTGCCTCTAGCCTCTCTTGTCTGTCCTAGCGTTTTCCTCTATGGGGTCTTCTCAGAAGTCTTGACTCTTCCTCCAAGTACTCATCTCTACCTCTCTCTACCCCTTCTCTAGAACCTTCTCCTTTGCCCCCAGTCACCAAGATAAGAGCTCTTTCCTTTTTTAAGTATCCAGTCACCTGATCAGGGTACCTCAGTATCCTTGAACTAGAAAACCATGTGCTCTGGGCCTTCAAAATAAAACCCCAGGAGGGGCTGCTCTAGGCATGGTCCAGGAACCCTTTGTTTTGCTGAACTGAGGGCTGCTGGGCTAAAATAACGAAGGAAATAGAACTGGGTTTTCTATCTCCACCAGGCAGGGACAGCCTGGAGCCTTCCTGCTGGTGTGTTAGCTTTCCGTGTCTTTAGTGAAGACTTAACCCTTCCTTCTCCTCTGCTGAGTAGAAAGCATGTCTGTCTCCTTGAGCCCCAGGCACTGGGCATGCAGCTGCTGTCATTCTGGTTTGTGGTCAGCCCAACCATCACTGCCTCCTCAGCTCTTCTTGGGCCAACCCCACAGCCCAATAAAGCAATTCTCTGGGAAGGCTTTTGGTGGGAAAAGCCACTTTATTAAAGATTCTCTGTCACAGTCCCCCATTTCTGGACCAGTCAGATTGACTTTGGGTTGAAGTTTCTGAT